GTATTTTTTGTTATATTTGTTTAATTTTATAGATCTAAATACTTTTTGGTTCAAAAAATATTTAGGGACTTAATCGTTCAAAATATGAATGTTCAGTGGGGTTTTTTCGGACTTTTTTCATTATTTATTACTTTAACTAGTTGTACAAGTCATAAGAATGTATCCAACATGTTTTAGAAAAGTCCAAGGAGATATTTAACATGTTTTGGATTGTTCAAGGACTTATTTGTTCCAAAAATTGTCCAATGAGTTATTTAACATGTTTTAAATTGTCCAAGGACTTATTTGTTTCAAAAAATTGTCAAATGAGTTATTTAACATATTTTGAAATGTCCAAGGACTTATTTGTTTCAAAATATTGTCCAAAACTTAATCATTTCAAATATTAAAGTACATTGAATTTTTTTAGACTTTTCTCTATTTTGGAACAAATAATGCCTACATATGTAATTTGTATAATTCCACTTATTTGTCCTTTTCATTTGGACCAATGATTGCGCATCTTTTTCGTATAATTTCAACCACAATTTTTTATATAATTAAATAATAAATGGGCTTTTAGTAATTTGCATTGATGATTTTATTATATATTAAGGGGTTGTTTGACAGTTGTTGAATGGTTTAGTGCATAATGATTAAGAGGCTCTTATGATATAGTGTAAAATAAAATATAATGATTTACAATGAAATTAGGGTGTTGAATGGTTAAGAGAGACATATGATACAAAATCATTTGGAGTGTTTTAAAACTATTAAGAGACAGATTTTTTTTGTCAAACAAGATTCACTTCTTAACGATTAGAGACTGCATCTTAATGAAACTATTAAGAGGTAAACAAACGACCCTCAAGTATTAAATAAATTAAAATAAATCATACTATAATTATAATGTTTGTAATTTTGTTGTAGGACTAACCATTGAAAATGGCTTAAAACTATTAAGTTAACATATTTTAATAATTTTGCGTATCCATAGATAGTGGTGTTTATGAGTTTGGTTGATCGGGTTGAAGACATTTGAGCAATTCAATTTAATGTTTGTGGTTTGAACAATTTTAACTCAACCCAACCCAAATCAAATTGCAATCCAACCCAACCCAAACTGTACGGGTTGGTCGGGTTACTTGAGTTTGTCAGGTTGATACTTTGGTACATTAATATTCCTCAAATTCTAAGAACATCTTCAAGAACTATATTATATTATTTTTTCCCCTCTAAAATATAATATTAAAAATCAAGAGCAAGTTGTATGAAATAGTAACGTATTTTACCTTCATTCCTATTTTGAATAACGTACTTTAAGAACTTCCATGTTGGTACACAAGATGTAAAGTTTTAAACATTTAAGTACCCGAGTAACAAGTTGAAGCATTAACCAGTTACCATGCTAATGTGACGAGTGATATTGTATCCAACTCAGTATTATTTGTTGAAGCATTAACCGAATATCACATGACTCGCCACATTAGCATGGTAACCGGTTATCCGAGTACTTAAGTATTTAAAATTTTACATCTTAGATACCAAAATGAACGTTTTAAAAGTACGTTACCCAAAATAAGAATCAAACCAGTCATACACTTGAAGCCTAAACACAAACCAGTCAGACACCACTCTTGTGGTTATAATACTTTCTCCTTGATGCTAACTTTAAGAGATTTCTCAAAATTTAAAGATTTAAACATTCATTTTTTTTTTCTATTTTAACATACACTTTAAAATAATTGTTGAAACAAAAAAATCTCATAATTAAAAATATTTGTTTCAACTAATTGTTTAATATTCCAAAAGCATCTCCAATATATATTATATTTTTTTCCTTTTTTCAAATTTAGAGATTTATCTGTTCTTTCTCATATTTTCTGTATTTTAAAGAAGAATTTAACATAACTGTTAAAGCAAACTTTATTTGAATTTATAAATTAATATAACAATTGAAATGCCCTCAATACCAACCTTTTCATTAGTTGGAACAAATAGTGCCTACATATAGGGCTGTAAACGAACCGAACGTTCAACGAATCGTTCGTGAACCGTTCGGCGGGAAGTTCGTTTATTTAATAAACGAACGAACATGAACAATTTTTTTTGTTCGTTTAGTTAAACGAACGAACATGAACAAGAGTCTCGTTCGTTCATTTATGTTCGTAAACGTTCGTTCATTTACCGTTCGTTTACGTTCGTTTATATTCCTTCGTTTATGTTCGTTTATATATTAAATTTAATATATAATCTTTTGTTTATATACTTTGAATTCAAATAATATTTATTTATGTTCGTTTAGCCCGTTCGTTTATGTTCGTTCGTTTACGTTCGTTTAACATGTTAACGAACGAACATAAACGAACACAAACATACCTGATTTCTAAACGAACGAACACGAACACAAAGATTTTCGTTCGTTTACCGTTCGTGTTCGTTCGTTTGTTCGGTTAAGTTAAACGAACGAACATGAACAAGCCTCCGTTCATGTTCGTTCGGTTTGTTTACAGCCCCACCTACATATAGCCACTTATTTGTCCTTTTCATTTGGGCCAATGATTGTGCATCTTTTTCTTATAATTTCAACCACAATTTTTTTTAAATAATTAAATAATAAATGGGCTTTTAGTGATTTGTATTGATGATTTTATTGTAAGAGATTGTTTGACGGTTGTTAAAAGATTTGGTGCAGAATGATTAATTCGTTAGAATTATTAAGAGTCTTTCACGATATAGTGCAAAATAAAGTATAATTGTTTGATAATTGTTTACAATAAAATTATGGTGCTTAATGGTTAAGAGAGACCTATGATACAAAATCATTCAGAGGGTTTTAGAAACATTAAGATGCAGACTTTTTTTTGCCAAACAATATTCACATCTTAATTATTCAGATGCTGCATCTTGATGAAATTATTAAGAGGTAAACAAACAACCACAAGTATTATATAAATTAAAATAAATTATAATATAATTTTAATGTTTGTAATTTTGTTGTAGGACTAACCATTGAAAATGGCTTAAAACTATTTATTTAATATATTTTAATAATTTTGCATATCTACAGATAGTGGCGTTCCTAGGTTGAGTTGATCGGATTGAAGACATTTGAACAATACAATTTAATGCTTGTGGTTTGAAAAATCTCAACTCAATCCACCCCCAACCAAAGTGCAACGGGTCGGTCGTGTTGATACTTTGGTTCATTAAAAACGTTCTCCTAAAATTGAATATGTTATTTATCTACTCATAATCTTTTTCATCATCAACCATTTGATAAAACTTATTCATACTTCTTACGTATATTACATTCAGTTAATAATCTCAATTTACATATATATGTTCACAGTTACTAAACATATATACGAATGAGTTATATATAGAAGATAATAGATTGAAAATATGTATATATGAAGAGCGTATATGATAGTGTAATTGTCTAATGTATATATTAATAGAAATTCAACAATCATATTAAATCTAAGAAATAAAAGGATATCAGGTTCATCGAATTGAGTAAAGTTCAAATAATAATAACCCAATACCTACATTTGAAAATTTTACAACTCAATTAAACATCAGGTTGTTTTGAGTTGAATTATTTCCCGTTGGGTTAGGTTTGGTTCGTCAGGTTTTTGATCACCTGTCATCCACACATATTCTTAATATAATAATTAAAAAAATATTTTATTATTTTATTAATATTTCCTAATTAATGGAATAATTTATTATTTGCAATATTGATGGTAGGTTTGTTTTGAATGCTAATTAATAATGATGGAAGATGCCCCATTCCATCTCAACTTGGGTGGCTTTTTCTGATTTTATAAATTTTATCATTTAAAAAACATTTTTAATAAATTTTCTTAAAAAAAATAAAAAAATAAGTAGGAATGTATATGGGTCGAGTCGGGTAGGCAAACAAAAAACCCGATTGGATTTTAGATATGGAAAGCAGACTAGAAATTTTGGATTGCTTCTGGTTCGGGTCAGTTAAGTTTCATGTTGGGTTCGGTTGGGGTCGGTTATGGTTATATGCAATATATATACTTAATCGTTTTTTATGATGAATTCAACCGATTGAGAGTTGATAAAATCGATAGTAGATTTAGAAGTTACAGAAAAATATGGCCGATTAGGATTTAGAAAAGAGTACCGCCGAAAGATAATTAGATGAATAAAAACATTTTTTATAAAATTTAAAAGGGGCAAATTGTATGAAAAAAATAACGTACTTTAACTTGATTCATATTTTGGGTAACGTTTTTTAATTTTGGTATCTAAAATGTAAAGTTTTAAACATTTAATTACTTGGGTAATCGGTTGAAGCATCAACCGATTACTATGCTGATGTAGCGAGCGATGAGATGAAATTGGGTTGAATAACAAATAATATTGAGTTGGATACCATATCACTTGACATATCAACATGGTAACCGGTTAATGATTCAACCGATTACCCGAATACTTAAATGTTTAAAACTTTACATCTTAGATTACAAAATGAAAATTTTAAAAATATGTTACCAAAATAAAAATCAAATTAAAATACGTTGTTTTTTCATTCAATTTACTCTATTTATTCATAAAATTTCTTGAGAAAAATATTCAAAATATAGTCAAAATAAAGAAAGGTGGGGTCAACGATTTGGACACTTTGGTCCACAAGAACCCTAGCCCCCAAAACATTTAAACCTGAAAATGGAAGAAAGATAACCACCATCTACGTGTCACCAGCTGTATCAATCATTATCACAATTCACAACCCTCCTCCACAAATCATCCCCAAACCCAAGTCATTTTCATAATCAATCACACAACAATCCACTCAATCTCTCTCCCTCTCTGAAATTTTGTATATACAAATGTGTTTTTAGGTTCGCAATTTGAAGATTTGTATATACAGAGTAGGGAGAAAATTGATAGAAACAGAGAGAGGGAGAGAGAGATTGATGGCGGATTCCGAGAAGCAGGCGGCGGCGGCGGCGGCGGTGGTGGTTGAGGAGGCGGAGGAGAAGGAGAGATTGATTGAAGGGGTGACGGTGGTGGATTTCGATATGTTATGTTCGACGGTGGCGATGAAGACGAATCAAGGGAAATGGATTAAATTACAAGAAGATCATGAAGAAGATGGTGGAGAATTGGGGGGAGGTGTTCTTAGGATGTGGGAAGGTGATCTTCTTGATTGTTTTGATGATCGTCGTTTGCTTCTTCAATCATCATTGTAAGTTCCTCTATATGCTTCCCTATATATATATATATAGAATTTGGGTGTTAATTTGATGAGGGTTATATATATATATATATATATATATATATATATATATATATATATATGTATATGTATATGATCATTGAGCAAAAACCTTGAAATTTGCAGATGCCCATGGTTTAGATTTGGGGAAAACATGAAACTAGCCGGTCTTGGTTCTTGCTTTCTTCAGGTACACATCGATAACTTCATTTCTACGATCATTAAACTTGTTTATGCTCACAGTTGAAATCATCATAAACACCAAGTTCAAACCAAACCAAACAAACCCAGTAGCTCTCATTGGACGTGGGTTCGGGGGTGGGTCGGTGGTGGCATGTATGCAGAGCTAGAAATGCACTAGGCCCGGGCATCCTTAGGCTTGAACCTGGGCCATCCAAGCCTGTTTGGGCTTTGGGGTTGGAAAAGATCCCAATCGGTCTTTTCGGGTCAGGCCTAGACCCGGGCCTGCCCCCAAAATTTTGGCTTGACTGGCCTTTGAGGCTTGGTCGGTTCCGGGCTTGGGCTTTTTGTGCATCTCATGCAGTTTGAACTCTACCCCCAAAGAGTAGAATTTCTGTTATCATTGAGTTCGTGGATCCCAAATGATCGAGTTTCTAACACGTTTCTTGCATTTGGATCCGACAGGGATTTATTTATACAATTCTATCCACGCTTGCTCTTTGCAACCTTGTAGCGTTTGCCGTCACGAAGAAGCATTGTTTCTTGTATATTGGCGTTGCGTTTGTGCTCTCACTCGGAACATATTTGGGCTTTAACCGATCCAAGATGAGAAGCAAATTCAACATCAAGGTAAAGATTTTCGCTTTTATACTCTTTTGTTTATATATGATATGAAACCAAACCAAACAAGCCCGGTATATCCAACCCGAAGGTGGGTTCGGGTTGAGATGTATGTAGACCTGATCTCTATCCTCAAAGAGTAAAACGATTGTTTTCCGTGATTTTTTGTATGATTGTTGTCATTATAGTATTGACTAGAGATGCACAAAAAAAACCACCAAGCGTGGTCCTGACCCAAAAAGCCCGGGCCTAGTTCTCAAGACCCAGCTTAAAGCCTAATCAGGCCAACTCTTTTTAAGGCCCAGTTAAAGCCTGATTGGGCCCTCCTTCAACCCAAAAGCCTGTCCCGGAACAGACCCGAAAAAGCCCGGGCCTAGGAAGCCAGAGTCCAGGCCCAAGCCCAGCTTAAAACCTGATATAGCCAACATATCTTTAAGGCCCAAAAAGCCCAACAGGCCCTCTTTCAACCCCGAGGTATGGCTCGGCCCAACCTGGCCCAAGCCCAAAAAAATCCGCTCTTTTGTTGCTTACTGAATAATGGGCTTGGAAGGCCCAGGCCCGAGCCCAAAATAGCTCTTGTGCATCTAAGCTTGACTTTATGGGTCAAATAGGCTATTTTCCGACGTCAATTTTGATATGATTGCTGATCGTTTCTCGAAGTACGGGATAACAATTTCGAACCTTTTTTACAAGCAATGCTAACAAACCGGTGTCGGTGCTAAAATCTTAGACAAAACCGTATGATTTCACATCTAGAAGGTTCATGTTTGACTTTGAAAAGTCAAAGTGTATATCAAACGGTTTCAAATATACCAACCGATACATACATTAGAGATGCACAAAAGGATCCATTACCGAATTGAAATTGTTCCCAATATCGTAACATTGATTCATGCAACTAGTTCTTGAAAAATGAGGTACCCTTTGACTATTAGTCAAATAGGCTACATTTTGACTTTGAAATTTTTTACGATCTACAACTTGTTTTTGAGATACGGGATGATCTTAGTCGAACTTGTAACGAGGCGATACAAACTAGTGGCTGTTTGTATTGAAATTGGTAATGAAATTGTGATGAATTTTCGTTCGAAGACGAACTAGGTTTGACTCCAAAAGTCAAAGTGTTTTGAATCTGTTTTGTTTCTCTTCAGGGCAGTGATAGTTCTTTGGATGATTGTGTATCCCATCTCATTTGCCCCTGTTGCACCTTGGCTCAGGTTTGTCTTCTTCCCGTCTTGGTTTCGTGGTCCCCACTTTTCGACCTGTTATCTCATATATATATATATATATATATATATATATATATATAGAGAGAGAGAGAGAGAGAGAGACGGGTTCAAACAAGAACAATACATATTCAAGAGAATAAGAAAATGACCGAATCACATGTAATTTTACACTGACATCACGTACAAAATCACATGTAATTCACGCGACTTTGCCCTGCGACCTGAAGTCGCATGCCAAAAGTCATCCTCACCCCTTTGACTGTTAATGTGAAGTCACATATGATTTTACAAGTGATTTGCCATTTTCGTATTCTCTTAGATAGTTAGCATTCTCATTTGATCCTCCCTTTATAAGGTCAGGTTTAGGGAAACTGCAAAAAAATGAAAAACTGAGGAACACCATGGTAACCATTCATTTGGACGATATGCACATGTGCATACAAATAACTGAAGCTGTTTTTTGGTTTTTATGCACGAGTGCATGTTTTGCACATATGCGTACCGGACAAATTGTAAGAACTGTTCATCTGGACGGTATGCACATGTGCATACAAGTAACTTGTAAGCAATTTGCCGGTATGCATATGTGCAAATATGCACTCGTGCATAAAAACCAAAAACCAACTTTAGTTATTTGTATGCGCATGTGCACACCGTCCAGATGAATGGTTACCAAGTGTTCAAAGTTTTTCATTTTTTGGGGGGGTTTTCCGTGAACCTCCTCTATATGTGTGTGTGTGTGTGTATATATATATATATGAAAGATCAAACGAGAATGCTAACTATTTAAGAGAATATGAAAATGGTCAAATCACGTGTAAAATCACATATGATTTTACATTAACGCCAAAAAAAAGTATTGCATGCGACTTTGGCCGTGTCTTCAAGTCGAGGGGCAAAGTCGTGTGAATCACATGTGATTTTGTAGGTGATGTTAGTGTAAATACACATGTGATTCGACCGTTTTCTTATTTTCTTAAATAGGTACCGTTTTCTTTTGAACCCAACACTCTCTCTCTCTCTCTATATATATATAGAGAGAGAGAGAGATTTTGGTGATATTTGTGCTCCAACAGATTTCTTTAAATGGTTCTCTAATTTTGAGAAAAGAAGAGAATATAAAATTCTCTAAAATTTAATATGATGAGAGAAAAATACTTTTTTTTATATTTTTCGACCAATGAGAGTGAATGTATTATTATTTATTTTAAAAGAGTAATGCGTTAAATAAAATTATAAAGTATTTTAATAATATATAATGTTGAAATCTTTAAAATAGAGAATCTGTTGTACAATTGGATGTAATTTTTTTAGAGGTTTAACTTGTGGTTCTCAATTTTAGAGAAATTATAGAGAACGTGTTGAAGATGTTCTAAATTAACTTTTTTTAGCTTATTGAAAAAGCCTCGTTTAGTTAGCTAATAAGTTGGCTTTTTGAAACGTTACTTCAAGTAGTGTTTCTATAAGCTTCCTGAGCTTTATTTTCCATTTTCTTCTAATCATGTATCTTGTATTTTTCCAATTAATTTTTTAACATCTTTTTAGGTCATTTTACATTGTCATCTAGCTTATCAGCTGGTTTCATCAAACATGACTAGTTTATTAATCAACAACTAGTTTTTCAGCTAACAACGAGTATATATAGTCAGTCAAACATGGTCTAAATTAAATTTCTCCTTTTTTATGTTTTTGATAATCTTGAGCAGGAGTCGAGAACGTTGAAAATGAACAACATTCAAGACGGGACTTGGCATGGTCGAGGCGACACAATGTGCATGGGAACATACGTCGAAGGTGTGAAAGCCTTCGAGCTAATCCCGCCCACAATCGTATCAATCGAGTCTCCAAAACCTTGTTTGCCGGCTGAAGGTTCAGAGCCTCTAGCGTCACCACGACAATGGTAAATCGTGTTTCTTTAGGTGGATCGCTCCTAAAAACTTGACATGAGAAAAGGGTTTTGTCCCCCTAAAAACTCGAAAACCGCACAACAGCAACGAGAAGCTCTTGTTGATGTGGATCAAGAATGTCATCGTTGGCCGCCAACTGTTCGATGAAATGCCTCAAAAAATTTGTTTGACATCAATGTATATAGTTTGCAAGGATAAATAGGTAAATTTAGTTTGAAAGTTAATGGAAAAAGAAGCCCACACTGGTTACTTATGCGTCTGTATTAGAGATGGCCAAATGGGCCCGGCCCGGCCCGGGACCGCCGGAGGACCGGGACCGGGACCGACAAAGGACCKGRYCGGSAYSGGGACCGGTAAGGACCGGTTATGGGACCGAAAACCGGGACCGGTTGAGGTTTTTGGTAGTTTCGTGGGACCGGGACCGGTTATGGGACCGACTATGGACCGGCCCGGCCCGGCCCGAAAATTCAATTAATTTTATAAATAAATGTATTTTAAAATAATTTTATAATGTATTTTTATAAGAAAACGTAATTTTAATTATATTAAAACGTATTTTTAAAGTGTATTTGAGTGACCCAATTGTAAATTTTATAATGTATTAAAAATATATATCATTAAAAAGATAAAATAAAAAATCTTATTTTTTTAATGAAGGACCGGTTGGGACCGGGACCGGGACCGGCGGCCCATAACCGGTTATAAAGTACCTATACCGGTCCTATCATTTTCGACCGGGACCGGGACCGAGACCGGGACCGGTTACGCCGGGACCGGTTATGGCCGGTTATGAGAATGGTGAGGACCGATTGGGACCGGCCCGGGACCGGTTTTTGGCCATCTCTAGTCTGTATTTCTATTTTAGTTTTTTTTTCTTTCTAAATTTGGTTGACAAAATTGATTGCCGACAACTTGAACCGGCTCCACATGGAACCAGTTTTCAACGACACCAATGTGACGGGACATTTTTGGCTCACTTAGGAGCTTAGGCTAGCGGGAGACCCGAGATCGAACTCAGACCTGTCTTGTTTTTAGATGCTCTCTTCGTCACAAAATAAGTATCCACTTTTTAAAATAAATATTCAGATTCTCAAATCTATTTTTCATCAATGCACAAATTTATAAAAATTGTAAACAGTGGAAATTAATTAAGGGTATAGTTGTCATTTAGTTAACTAAAAGTGTAATAACTATGCATGTTTAAAACTATATGTCATTTCTATTGCGGAGACTAGACACTTGTGGAATAAATGTCCACTTTCAAAATTAAGAGTCTATTTTGCAGGGTTGGGTTCCGGTGAGAAGAGAAGTTATGGTGAGAAATGTAAGAATCCTAATTGAATATCAACACTAATGAGGTGCACTCGGATCAATTGTCTTCTAAAGCACAATTCATGGGTGGGTGTGAGACTAAAGTGATCAAGGGTTCGATCTCTTCTTACCCTTCTCACCATAACTTCCCTTCTCACAGGATTCTTCGACTATTTTCCGATTCTATCTTTAATTATGAGATTCAAAAATTAATTACTCTTTCTATTATTGAGTAGATTTATCATTTCATTGACTAAAAAGTGTAATAATTACACATTTTTAAAATTGCATGTCTTTTTCATTGTGATCGTTTATTTTGGGACGAAGGAGTACTCTTTTATGACAAAAAAAGAAGAAGATTAAAGCCGCTTAGAAATTTGACCAAAGGTCAAATTATCCAACCCAACCTAACCAACCCGATCAAACCCAATTTGTCAAACTGTGGATTAGGGTTGTACACGGGTTGGGTTGGTCCGGTTAAATGCATTTGAACAACCCAACTCAATATTTGTGGTTTGAAAAATCTCAACGCAACCCAACTAAAACAAAAGTAAAAACCTAACCCAAATTATGTGAGTTGGGTTGAAACTTTGATAAATCATTTTACAATCTAGCTTAAGGTTCATACAAGTAAAAAAACGTAAAATTACAGTTGAAATTGTAATATATTTTTATGAATAAAGCTAATTACGAGTCGATGTAATGTCTAACATATATTTATTAAATAAGGACTTAACAATTATATAAAATTAATGGTATAGAAAGACATCGGGTTCATCGAGTTGAGTTGGACCGGGTAAAAATGCTCCTAACTCAATTCCAACCTAATACCTACAGTTTAAAGACTTTACAACTCTATTAAGTGTCACTCACTTTGGGTTGGGTTGGGTTGGATGGGTTATTTCAGGTGGGGTTGATTTAGTCAGGTTTTTGTGCACCCCTACTGTTAAACTGGTGGCGTTGGAATTGGGTTAGGTACAACCAAACCCATCAATCCACCGCTAACACATATAAAATCGATAACGTATAAATTATATACATACTAGAAGGGTACTCGCACAATGCAGCGATATACATCTCGATTATAATGTTTTATTTTATTTTGTCTCCGTCGATGTTATAATACGATTTTATGTGGTTCTAAATAAACAATAATACTGTTATTTATTTGAATAAAATATAAATTTGAAGATATCATAAATTTTAGTAAAAAAAATGTATTGATTTTAGTATCAAATTAAATATTTAAAAGTTCTTGTTTCTTTGTGTAGTTTCTTTAATTATATTTTTCATTATAATTTAATTTAGAGTTAGTAATGAAGTCATTTATTTTTTGTTTAATAATATAATTCGTTTATAAAGATAATATTTAGTATTTTGTTAGAATTCAATGATTATCCTAAATATATTTTAGATCTTTATATTTAAAATGAGATACCTATCCGGTATTTGATCATGTTTATATCTGCAGTTAATTACTCGAACTCAAACATAGAGTTTTAGTAACTTGTACATACGGACAATATAATTGCAATATTGAATTTTAAGTAATATGCATCAATAAACAGTACTTGATGAATAAAAATGTTTTTAAGAGTTTTTGTCAAATGCTTTACAATATAGTATAGATAATACAATATATAATGACACTGCCCAAATCTTGATCCTTCCCACGGCCTAACGCACACGCTCGGTCCATATTCTAAATCCCTATTACTGTTAATAATGAAGCGTACAACACGAACCTATTGGTCCTTGTCTCGTTCTTACCGGGTAAAGAGTCGCCCTCACTTACCGGGTAAGACTCTTGGTCCTTGTCTCGTTCTTACCGGGTAAGATTCTTGGTCTTTTACCATATTCATGCGGTGAGGTAATGTTACTTGACAAGTGCTTACCCGGGTAAGCATTTGGTAAACGGCCCCTTAATTGGGTTGGATTATTCAAAATGCCGCAAACCGTCTAACTCAAATCAACTCATGTACAACCCTAAACAAGATACATATATTAAAAGAATCGTATCGATTTATAACAAACAAAACTATAATCTCATTCAAAACGTTGTCGAGAATGAAAATATCAGATGTGAGATTTTAACATTTTCTTGACGGGTTGGTTTGAGTTTTCATTCATTTTTAACGGTTTTGATTATAAGTTTTATGATGTTTTTTTTATCAACCTGGATATCCAACCTGCTATGCGAGCCGACTAATCTCAGGGCGACCACCTGCTTTGCAGATAGTCCGGAGTCACCGTATTTGAACCTCCGTGGCTACAAGCGGATTTTTATTCCTCTTTGGATTTGAACCTGAGACCTCCTGGTACTTTTGACATTTGGAATCAAACTCAAACCAATCAGGCACCATCCTTGTGGTTAGATGTGGGATTTTAACATTTTCTTGACGGGTTGGTTTGAGTTTTCATTCATTTTTAACGGTTTTACATGCGAGTAATAAATAAAGCAAAATTGTTTCGATGGTGGAGTTGCCACCAATTATTGTATTAGCATATCACCAATTAGAAGAGTCAACCAACTACAAAGATTTGATTGATGATATAAAAAAATCTGGTTTTGTTTTATCAGTACTATCAATGAACTTGGCATTGATTTATGTTGTTATATGCACAACTATTTATATCAAAAATCTGATCAAATAAGACAATAAAAATGTAAAAAGTAAGTTCTAATATTAATGTGTGTGTGTGTGGAGGCACTAAGTGTTGGTTTTGTTTTAGGGTTATTTATAAAAATAACCGATTTACACAACTCTTTGCCACAAAATAACCACATTTTAGAGGTTTTGCCAAAATAATCACCCGGATCGCCCCCGGGGGCGATCTGTACACAATGGGGGCGATCCCCCTTAAAAGTCTTAAAAAAAATTCCTCAAAAGTCGAGATTACTGTTCACCTCGTTGACCGTGTTTGACCTCGCCCCCGGGGCGATCCGTACTGTACCGGGGGAGATCCGGATAAAAAAAAAATTTTGATTTTTTTTCTAATACCAATTTCACTATAAATACCAACCTCCTAATTCATAATTTTTCACACATTCCCTTCCATTTCTTTTCTCATATATTTTACTCTCACAACTTTTAACCCACTAAATACAATCAACCATCACAAAACATGAAATCACGTGAAAGTGATAATGTTTGTGTGTATCTTCGAAGTGGCGGTTTATTCCAAGATATAAATGGTGTTTTAGAGTACCTTCCGATAACCTCCCCCACATGTGCAATATGTTTGTCTTCGCCAATAACGTATTCTGGGGTCGTCAAACGTGTGACGAAAAAGTTAAGTTTACGTGGTCCTTTCAATTTAYTTTTTAAAACRAATRYGTTATATCAGTTTATGGACGACGATGATGTGGTAATCCTCCACAACGCCATTCGTCAAACTTTACCAAAAACGTTGACACTATATGTTGTCGACAATGGAGGTTATGAAGGAAATCCATCAAACGCAAACCCGGGAGGTTCAAACAGTTTTTACACCGCTGCTGTGAGCACACTCTTCCCCGACGTTAGCGTTGCAAACTCATATGGTCAAAGCACACTCTTCCCTACCGGTTGTGCTCCTGGTCTAAATCAGAGCACTATCTTCCCTAGCAGTAGAAGTGGTGAAAATCGAAGCACCTTCTTCCCCTACGATGGTGCTGGAAATTCATATCTTGAACAAAAAGTTACCGTTGAACCTGACAGTTATTTTGTTCAAGACTTGAACATGCCTCCGATGCAGTCTCCCAACCCGTACCCGATCCGGTCTCTCGAACTGTCAAAACCGTTCTGGGAGGTAGATATGTTTCGTATTAAAAACACCCCTTATGTATTTTTCAATTTTTATTAAAAACACCCCTTCATTGGCGTATCAGTTTTATTAAAAATACCAAAAAAGTTAAAAAAAATACAACAATTATCATTCGGTTATTTTATAATGAAAAACTGTGAAA